CTCTGCCCCTCCCCCTGCTTGTACTCTCTCTCTTTCAAATAAATCAAATTTAAAAAAAAAAAAAAAAGGAGGAGGAGGAGGAGGGAGGAGGAAGAGAAGAAGAAGAAGTAGTAGTAGTAGTAGCAGTAGTAGTAGTAGTAGTAGTAGTAAGGGTGAGTTCAGGGGAATTCCCAGGTCTGCCCAGGGCACCTGGATGATAGCGGTGCTATCCACCCAGATGGAGACATGGGGACATGGGTTATCTCTGGGTGGGGAGGACATGGCAAATTGACTTTTGGACATACTGAGTGAGGGGTCCATGGGATATATTTACCACCATTTCCATCACTGCCCTGACCACAGCATTTTATAAACATCTTTATAAGTTTATAAATTCTCAGTGTCCATGTGTCCATTCTACCTCTACTACTTGTGAACTGCAAGCTTCTTGACCCTAGGGATCCATTTATCCATCATCTCTGTGGTCCCAGGACCTAGTACAATGACTCATGCCCAAAAATAGGTGCTTAATAAGGTTGAATGGTAGGGCTGGTGCCCCCAAAGAGGAATGACATCAGTCTGTTGCCATCACTGAGTCCTCCTTGGAATCAGATCCCGAACAAGTAGATGAAATCTCCTGTTAAAGGAGTCAGGGGAGGGAGTTGCCTGGGTGGCTCAGTCGTTAAGCGTCTGCCTTAAGCTCAGATCATGATCCCAGGAGGCTCAGGTCATGATCCCAGGGTCCTGGGATAGAGCCCCGCATCGGGCTCCCTGCTCAGCCGGAAGCCTGCTTCTTTCTCCCTCTCTCACTCCCTCTGCTTGTGTTCCCTATCTCACTGTCTCTCTCTCTCTGTGTCAAATAAATAAATAAAACCTTAAAAAAATAAAGTTAGTATTTTAAAAAAAGAAAGGAATAGAGGGGTACCCTTTCCTTTCACTGCCATTTTGTGGGGGCCTTCAGTTTGGACCAGGCAGAATGGGAAGTGGCCAGACCTGGGACATGGAGTCGGGTGGCTCAGGAACCCAGGACAGGACAGGCTATGGAGCTGGCTTGGTTTAGACCAGGCCTCCCAGGAGTGGGTGCCCATACTCATCCTGGGCTGCTCATCACAGGTAGATGTGTTGGGGGGAGGCACTTGAGATTGGAAAAAGGTGGAGCAGGACGTGGCCTGAGGGGCCAGGAAACACAGTCCAGGGGCAAGGTGGCCGTGTTGAGCATGCCATCTGGCAGGCCCAAGACCTGCTTGAGGTCAGTTCATCCGACCTTGAACCAAACAAAGCCATTGTTTCCTCCACCCATTGGCAGTCCTGGTGACTCAGAGCTAATGGATCCTGCATTGTCGTCACCAAGGGGCGGCTGTATTCCTTGGGCGTTGGTCAGAGACTTGGCAGGAAGCATGAAGGCTGCTGGACGAGGCTGGGTAGTGTGGGCCCAGCCAGCACACATATCCCAGCTCTCACTCTGACCTGGGGCAAGACAGGGAGGAACTACTAGCTCCCCTGCCAGAGCCCCGTTTTAAGGCATCTCTGTCTTTATTGTACTGATCCCAGAACTTGCATAGGTGCTTAGGGCTTTTAGCTCTTGGCCTCTGTTCTGCTTCCAGGAATCCACACTCAAGCTGCTTCCTTGGCATCACAGTGTCTGCACACATCTCGCCTCACACTCTCCTCTCTGGGGTCCTCAAAGCTGCCCTGGAAATCATGCTGATGATGGAATGTCAGTGGGCCCATTTCCCAGATGGGAGAACATGCACAAGGCCGAAGGGAGGAAGGGATGCACTCAAGTTAACCCCAACGAGTTGGTCTGGGCTGGGCCGGGAGTATGAGCTGGCCATCTCCTCCTGTCACTCACTTCCATGTTCATTCTATTCTAACCACAATTATCTCCTTGGTATTTACTTCCTGAGCATATCAAGCTTGCTTCTGTCCCAGGGCCTTGGCCCGGTAGTTCCTCCTCTTGGCAGACCCTTCCCCTAGATCTCACTCCTTCTTGCTTACGTGATTTAGGATGCAGAACCTATATACTCAGTGGGAAGGCAAACAGGATCACAGAGTCAGCCTTTGGATTCCACTGCTGGAAGGTGGGATGTGGGGTGGGGAGCAGTGATCTGATCTCCCTGACCATTCCAGACTCACTGCATGCTTCTCTCCACTCACTGACCGCACTGTTTCCTAGATGCGCCAAGCTTCTTCCTGCCTCAGGGCCCTCACACATTGTTTCCTCTGTCTGTAACACTGTTCCACTCTGCTACTGCCTGCCCCGAGCACTCCCCCCCCCTTGGCCTTCTCTGACTTCCCAGATGGATAGGTCACTCTCGGATCTTCCCAAAGCACTGAGTGTGTCTCATTTGTGGGACTTATTCCAGTGGCGATGATACAGCTCTGCCCCCGCCAGCGGGTACCAGTCTCCCACGTAAGGACAAGCTGCTTGAGGCAGCTATTGTGCTGACTTATTCCCAGCTATAGCCAAACACATGGAGCTTAACTGCTTATTAAACTCCTGTTGAGTGAATGAGTGGATTCTGGATTAATGAATGAGGTTTATTTGGCTATATTGACATTCATAGGGTTGCTTCCCAATAACAACTGGATATAGGAGTCAGGCTCATATTTCGATGAAGGACAGATTTGAACTTTGTCACTATAAATGAATCTAGGAGGTGCTTGTTTGGGAAAGAGACTTTGGATAAGGAGCATAGTAAGTAGGCTCCGTACCCCACAGGCTGCACTAGATTTTCCTCTGAACTTCAAAGGATCCAGAATTCAAGCTTCTTGGTCCCTTGAAGCAGCTAGAACCATCAGCAGACATACCTGCCACATTGATAAAGGTGTAAGGTCCAAAAACAAGGGAGGTGACAAACTCCTTTGTTTCCCCCTGTCCCCTTCTCACTCTAACCTGGATCACAGGCAGACAGACCTGGGAGCCAGATGAAAAATGTAGAGGTCCAAGAGCTTCCTCAGGCGGAAGGGTGGGGGCCAGCAAAGGGCTGGACCTGCTTAGCCCAGAGGTGCTCACCTGGGGTTCATGCAAGTGGAGGAGGCTAGAGACAGAGCTGGGAACCAACCCCCACCCCACTCCAACCCCGGCAAGGAGTCTCGGGGAAGCAGACCTCTTGTATGAGGAAGGACTCAGTTCAAAGCCATTCAACAATGAAACTGGTAGGTCGTGAGCTCCTCGTCCCTAAAGGTTGAATGACTTCGTGGTGGGGCTGCTGCCAGAAGGTCTAAGAGGAAGATGATAGACAGGACCTAGATGACCTTGAAAGTTACCTCCCCACACTTTATGAGATGTTTTTGCTTCAGGGCAGGAAATCATCATTAAATATTTGTTCTGCCTGGCTAAGCAATGGAAGGATAGCTGCCACCTGCCTCAGGGGTGCCTTGGGCCTACAAGTTTCCTGAGGAGGGGCAGGAGGATCTTGAAGCTGAGTCATAGGCTTGGCTGCACATCTGGGGCCCCTATCAGCCTGTAGGGGTTACTGTCTGGCTGCCTAGAGCCCCCAAAGGGGCTAATCATGAATAAGAATCCTTCCCATTGACTCATTTAACTTCCTTACAACTTACCTATAGCCTTGAAATCTTTCAAAATTAAAGCAATTTTTAAAAATTTTTGAAACTTGGATTTATGTATTTTGGAAAGAGGCTTCACATCTGTACTTTTAAATTCTCCCCAGGAAAACTGAATCTGTAGATGGAACTAAAAAATCACTAATCTAAATTAATTCAAGAAATGCATATATAAATAAAACTTTATTATTCTGTTTATAAATCAGAAATTCTTTGAAAGCAGATAACCAAATATCTCATTCATATCTAAGTGTATAAGTATGTATATACTGTATGTACAAGTATGTGTATAAGTGAAGTGTATATGTATAAAGTATAAAGTGTATAAAGTATAAGTGTATAAGTAAATATATAAGTATGGGGCAGTTTTATTGTTTTATTTTTTTAATCTTAATTTTATTTTTTAAAATTTTATTTATTTATTTATTTATTTGAGAGAGAGAGCCAGAGAAGAGAGAGAAGCAGACTCCCACTGAGCAAGAAGCCCAATGTGGGACTTGATCCCAGGACTCCAGGATCATGATCTGAGCTGAAGGCAGACACTTAACTGACTGAGCCACACAGGTGCCCCTAGGGGCTTTTATATACTGATTTTTCTTGAAAAGAATCTTGTCTGTATTTAACCCACTAAAATGCAAATGGCACGTAATTCATCCAAAACATGAGGGCATCTTCTTTTTTTTTTATTTTAGAAAGACAAAGTGTGAGGGGTTGGGGGGGGGCCTCAGAGGGAGAGGGAGAGAGAGACTCTCAAGCAGGCTCCATGCCCTGCCCCCACCGCACCCCTTCCCCGGGGGCCCGCCATATCAATTGTGCCCTTTCACGGTGGGAAAAGAAAAAAGGAAATGAAAAGAACCATTTTCATTTATATTTACACCTTGCTTCATCCTCTGCAAGATGTCTTCCCATCTGCTGTCCCCACTGTCCTCTTCACAGCAGCCCCAGGAGGGAGACAGAGTCAGAACTGCCATCTCCACGTGGTGCATGTGGGTAAACAGGCCTCAGGAAGGAAAGTGTCTTTTCTGCCACTGCAGAGGTGCTTGGTGCAGACCCCAGCAAAGGCACCCATGGCTCCAACCTCTCTTCTCTGCCTCCTGCCCCCTTTCAGTGACCGCTTTTTTTTTTTTCTCTCCTTTCTGATCTGTCTCTCCTCTTTCAAGCTCTCTGACTTGGTGTCTCTGTTTTTCTACTTCCATTTTCCTCCCTCACATGCTCCAGCCCTCCACTTTGGAGGTTGTCCAAACTTCACCTCATTCTGGAAATCTGCCAGCTCTGCAGGTACAGCCCCAGGCTGCCCCAGGTTCGGCATTTCTGGTGCTGTGGTGCAGGTACCTAACTGTGGATGCCGCTCCCAGTCTCTCCATCTGGCCTTAGATAAGATAAGGGTGGGGATCAGCCCTATAAACAGGCCCCAGTCATTCCCCTGGCCCAGGACCCCAGCTAGCTTGGACGCATCAGCCCAGGATCAGCATGGCCGTCCGCCTGTGGATGGTTGCCCTGGCTGTGGCTGCCCTCCTCATTGTGGATAGTGGTGAGTGGACAGAGCCTGGACTCTCTGTGACTTGGTGATGGTAGATGAGCTTGTGGTGGGGGCAGAGACAGGCCCTAAAGCATCCTCTGAGGCCTCGGTTTTCTGCATATACCTTCTTTCTGTACCTCTCCACTGTGGTTGGAAAAAGCTCTGGGTTAGGAGAAAAGAAACCTGGGTTCAAATCCTGGCTCTGGCCCAGAACTGCAAAAACCCCTCCTCTCTTGGGGCCTCTGTTTCTCCAGCTGTAGCATAGGATGTCTTTCTGGTTCAAAGCTGCTCTAAGCAACTCCTCGGCAAGACATGTGGGAAGCAGCAGGGAGCAGGCCTACCTCGGGAAAGACAGGTAAATCTGCTGGCTGCAAGGTAGCAGGTGCTGAAGGAAGCCTGGCCCGGGTCCTCTGAGCTCCTGTTTGCTGTAACAGGTGATGCCTGTGGGATGGATGGCAGCTGTGTGAGCCAAGGGTAGCCCCTTTCCCTGGACTAGACACATGCTGGAGTGGAGCCTTCTCAGGGCCTGGAGCACATCTGTGGTCTCATACCGACCATGTGTCAGGCATATTCTGGGCCTGATAAGACATATCAGTGAGCAAACAGAAAGAGAACTACCCCAATGAAGCTTAAATCCAATGGGGTAGGATGGAAGGGAATAGACAACAAGATCGATGCAGTGTTAGAAGGTGATAAAGGCTAAAGAAAAAATATTGGCTAGGGTGAAGAGGGGGCTGCCATGTTAAATCAGGGGGTTCTCTCCTACAGCAAGGCTTCAAGGGGGCAAGGGAGTAAGCCATGTGGGTATTTGGGAGAAGTTTTCAGACAGAGCTGACAGGCAGTGCAAAGGCCCTGAGATAGGAGCAGCATAGCTGGAGTGCTGGAGGTATGGCAAGGAGGCCAGTGTGGCAGGAGGGGAATGAGAGGCAGGGTGCAGAGCAATGGGAGAGGAGATGATAGAGGCAACTGGGAACTATACTGGGTAAGGCTTTAAAGGCCAGTGTGAGAATTTGGCTTTCCCTCTGGGTGAAATGGGAGACACTAAAGAATTTTGAGCAGGGTTTTTTGTTTGTTTGTTTGTTTGTTTAAGATTTTATTTATTTATTTGACAGAGAGAGAGATCACAAGTAGGTAGAGAGGCAGGCAGAGAGTGGGGGGAAGCCGGCTCTCTGCTGAGCAGAGAGCCTGATGCGGGGCTCCATCCAAGGACCCCGGGATCATGACCTGAGCCAAAGGCAGAAGCTTTAACCACTGAGCCACCCAGGTGCCCCAAGCAGAATTGTGTGTTAAAAGGATCACTCTAGTTGCTGTGTTGAGAACAGACTAAAGGGAGAAGCAGGAAGACTACTTAGGATACTTCCGGAAGACCACTGACCTGTCCCACTCCCACTCCCCTAGCTGAGAACACAGTCCTAGGAGCTGGGACAACAGAGCATGGGTTTGGGGGCTCTGCTTACTCCCAGCATGGCATCCGTTCCCTGAGCAGTTCTCCCATTGGGAACACTGAGGAGGAGGCCTGTCCGGAAAAGAGTCCTTGTGCCCATTTCAGATTCCTGCCTAGGCCAGGTGAGGAAGGGGTTCAAAAGCACCCTGAGAGTAAATTCAACCTCTTCCCACACCCTCCAGGAAGAAGCTCTATACAGAGTTCTGCACTCCACCCCCCTACGATGCATTTTAGTTGTGGGGCACATTGCCACATGAGGGCAGAAGCATAGGAGCCCCAAGGAACTCAGGTCCGTGGGAGGCAAGTGACTCACTGAGTGGGACAGCCTGTGGTATGAAAGTGGCCTGAATGTCTGTGGCCCCAAAATTCATATGCTGAAATCCTAATCTCCAAAGTATTGGTATTGGGAGGTGGGAGTTTTAGGAGGCAACTAGGTCATGAGGGTACAGCCTTCATGAACGCGATTAATGCCCTTACAAAAGAAACCCCGCAAAGCTCCCTTGCCCCTTCTACCACGTGAGGACACAGTAAGCAGGCACTAGCTCTGAAGCAGGAAGAGGGCCCTCACCAGACACCAAATCTGCCGGGGCCATGACCTTATGACTTTCCAGCCTCCAGCATTTTGAGAAACAAACGTTTCTTCTTTTTAAGACACCCAGTTTATGGTATTTTGTTCTAGCAGCTAAACGGACAATAGACAAAAACTGGAGGCTAAATCCAGGTCTCCTCAGGAAACCCTGGGGGACCTCAGGGAAGGATTCCCTGGGAAGTAGCATCTGAGCCTTACAATGAAGACAAAATCAGTAGAAGGGGGATAAAGACATTTCACCTAGACAGAAACAGTATAAGCTAAAGCAGAGCCTGTCCTGGAAAAATGAGCAGACAGGAATAGCTGAGGCATAGAAACATGGGGAGGTGTCCTAGGAAGTGAGTCTAGGAGGAAGTTTTCGATCAGCTCACACAGGGCCCTAAAAGATGAAGGAGCTCTGAGATCACAGGAGCCATGGAAGGCCTTTATATTTTTTTAATGCTTTTTTTGTACAACAGTTACGTGCCATGAAATAAACAAATCTTATCACTCAGTGAATCTTATTCAATGAATTTTGACAATGCACATACATGTGTAACCCAAATCTCTATCAAGATACAAAACATTAGGGGTGCCTGGGTGGCTCAATCATTAAGCGTCTGCCTTCAGCTCAAGTCATGATCCCGGGGTCATGGGATCAAGCCCTGCATCTGGGATCTGGAATTGAGTCCCACATAGGGATCCCTGCTCAGCGGGAGGCCTGCTTCTCCCTCCCCCCTGCTTTTCCCTCTCCCTCTGCCCCTCTTCGTGCTCTCTCTCCGACAAATAAATAGAATCTTAAAGATACAAAACATTTCTGGAGCACCTGGCTGCGTCAGTCAGTAGAACATGAGACTCTTGATCTCAGAATTATGAGTTGGAGCCGCATGTTGGGTGTGGAGCCTACTTAAAATAAAAATTAAAAAAAAAAAATTCCAACACCCCAGAAACGTCCCTCATCCTAGTCAGTCCTCTCCCTTATCCAACCCTTGAGTCAACCAATGCTTTTTTTCTCCCCACCATAAATTAGTTTGGCCTGTTCTAGAATGTCACACAGTAAGCTGTATTTATCCCAAGGCTGCCCTTAACCTTGGCCTAAGGTGCCCCTTCCATGTAGTATGTAGCCTTGTGTCTGGCTTTTTCTGCTCAATGTTTTGAGATTCAGCCACGTTGTTGCATATAACCATTGTTTGCTCATTTTATTTCTGAGTTGTATCCCAGTGTATGTATGTATCATAGTTTACCCATTCTGTTGAAGGACACTTGGGTAATTTCTCATTTCTAGTTTCACAATCACAGGAGAGTTTTGAGCAGTGTGGTGCTGGGTCTGCATCTTAATGTGCCATGCTTAAACAGCATTCCAGGGGTCACTTCACCTCAATTCCCTTCTCCCTATCTACCTTGGAAATCTCTTATAATAGCAACCCCAAGAAAAGCTAAAACCACAGTGGTGGGCACACCTCCAGTGATGGGAGAACTCTCTGCTTCTGGAGACAGCCTCCTTCACTGTGGCAGAGTTTCCACTGAGAGAAAATTCTGGAACTCAAACCTGCCTCCCTACAGCTTCCTCGCATGAATGGGCTCTGCCCTGTAAGGTTGAAAAGAGATCCTCTCTCCTTTGGCCCTGGGATAGCCCTTTAGAGACTTCAGGAAGCAGCCTGCCCTTCTCCAATTTACATAGACACTCTTCCTTCAACCTGTGGCATTAGATGTGGCTCCGTTCCCTCATCTGCCTGTCACGTTCTCCACTCACATCAGCTTGTTCATGTCCTGCAAGCAGGGCATTGAGATCTTTAAGAGCCAAGAGGCACAACTGTGTGTATGAAAAGAACCAGGCTGGGGAGTGGCAGACCTGTGTGCAGTCCCAGCTCTGCCCAATGATCCCACAGGGAGCTTTGGAGCTGGGGTGGCCCTTCCGCATTATTTAGTGGAAATGAGGGGTTCTGGCCATTGTACCAACATTGACCTGTCATTGGATATGGCCTGTTCTTGGGTAGGGGATGCGACCATGGGTGAGGTACTCTTTTTTCTGAGAGTCATTTCTAGGAAGGGACTTGCTGTGAGTGGCCAATACTCACAGCAGCTGAGGAAATGAGCACCTCAGTCTGGCCTGCGAGCGGGATGTGGGTAGCGGACCGCGGCATCCTTCCCTCCCTGTTACACGACGGTGATAGAGATGTTAAGAGGAGTCAAGATCATGTGTTCTCCATGCTTGATTCATGCTAATTCAATTACTTTCATTATTATATGGGATATAACAATCCCAGTGGGATCTGACTAATAAGATGAGGCTGGACTGCCACCTCCCTAACCCTAGATTTTCTGTCTCTGCTCTAGCAACCCAAGGTTACAGCAGCTTTCTGAGATTCCCCCACGGTCTGGTGACTCAATACCCCTCCTTGAGGAATTCCAGACTAGATAGTAGCTAGAACAGGTCTCCCGAAACAGCCCTCAGATGCCAGACCTGCGCCTAGAGACACTATCACCTAACTCGCTCGTGTTTTTGCCTTTCAGAGACACCCGTGTCGGCGACAATCCTGATTTCCCCAAGAATGGTAAGGCAGCCCCTTCCAGGTTGGGCTCCAGGGCTGCTGTCCTGGTCTCTCCTGGTCTTCCTTCTGCATCCATGCATTCTTCTTCTTTATACTCCTGCTCAAGTAACTGATGGCTCCGAGGTGGCTAGGGTAGCTTCCTGAGCCTGCAGGCTCCCCGGGCTGCCCTTCCAGGCTGAGTTGGCCCAGCCCCTTTGCCAAGGTCTCAAACCTGGCTTCCAGGACCTCAAGAGATCTCCCCAACCTGGTCTCCAGCGAAATCCCCTGCCCGGGTTCAGCAGAACTGAGCGTGCACTCTGTTTTGTGTAGTGAAGATGGACAGGCTATGGGGTTCAGACCAGAGATACTCTGGCGCCCCCAGTCTGTGCCAGCCTCCCCCAACCACACCCCATCGTTCATCCATCCCTTCACTCTGGAGGACAGACACCAAGTTGTCCCTGAATCCTGGTTCCACCTTGGCCCTGGGCCTGTGTCCGCAGGGATCCTAAGGCAGTGGTGCTGGCATCCCTGAGACCCTCAACCCAGCCTTCACCAAGGGGGCTCAAAGCTGCCTTCCCATCCAGCAGCCTCGGCATCTCCACTGTCAGCCTATCAGACCCAGGCCTATTATTGGGCCAAAGAAGTCAAGTACTTCTACATATATGATTTCAATTAATACTGCATGAGAAGAATACTATTATTCATTTACAGTGTGTGCAGAGGAGGAAGCTGAGGGTCCAAGAGTGGAGATGGCTCTCACAACTTCAAACAACTCATAAGCGTGGAAGTCAGACTCTCAGTCTTATGACCACCACCACCAGACTGCCTCTTTCACCCCATCCTGTCCCACACTCCAATCCCAGTCCTGACCCAGCTTCTACCTGACCTCGGGCCTGCCCTGAAACTCTTTCAGACTAGCCTCATTTAAGACCCAAGCCTTGTCCCATTTCTTCAGCCTTCCAGCACCAGGGGCCTGATAGCTCATGTCAGCCAGGGTGAGTGGAGAAGCCCTCAGTGAGGAGAGGCCCTGTGGGAATGCTGGTGGTTCTGTCTCCTGGGTTCCTCACCAGGACCTGCAGCAGAGGTTCTAGTTAGACCCTCTGAAAAGTGCATGAACCCATCCCGAGGAGCTTGAGGCCATAAACTCACCTGACACACAGACACACAGACACACACTTGAGTGCCCACAGACTTGGGTTCAGCAGACACAGGTACACACTTGTGTACACAGGCACAGCCCTACACCTAGTCATGCATGCACACCTAAGCAAACATGCCAAGGGGCCCTGAGTGGTTAGTTTCATATCCACTGGACCAACACTGGGCCTTCTAGAATCTGGCTCTTCCCTGGTGCCTTGGTCCCTATTCACTGCCCCTGAAGTGCTGAGTGCCCTCTCTCCCTTCCTCTCTTTCACAGCCCATCTGTGAGCACATGGAGGAGTCTCCTGTCTGTTCCCAGACATCCAACCTGGTCTGTGGCACTGATGGTGTCACGTATGACAATGAATGTCAGATCTGCTTGACCCGGCTGTAAGTCCACCCCATACCTTCCCCTCAGCTTGCTTGGGTGGGCCCTAACTCTGGTGCATTCAAGTGTGAAAGGAACAAGACTTGACCTGCCTCTTCCTTCACACACCTTGGCTTGAGAAGAGTCCTCCAAAATTGCCCCTAACAGAATGACCACAAGTATATTTCAAAGAAGGCACATGGTTCCAAGTACAAAGCCTCAGCTGGTAGGAGGTTGGGGAGGGTGCAGAAACCCTGGGTTCTTTCCCTCATTCTGCCCCTGACCAACTAGTTGACTTCATTTGTTCATTTATTCCTCCATCCAATAATTATTTATTGAGTGTCTACGTTAGGCACTGGGGATACAATAGGATATGAGCTAGACAGCATCCCTGGCCTTCTGGAGCATGTAGTAGTTTAAGGAGGAAGTAAAACTAATGGTCAGCCAACTGTAGCATAGAATGCTCAAGGCTCAGATTGGGGCACTCAGGGTTCTGTGAGTGCAGGGCAAGGACAGGGAAGGCTTTCCAGCTCAGCTCTGAAAGATAAGCTGATATTGGCTTGGAAAGAGAAGGAACAAGGAAACGTAATTCCAAGTAGTGAAATGAGTTTGGAAAATGTCTAGAAGGAAAGAAAAAAAAAAAGTTTGTATTTGAGAAAATGTAAGAAATTGTATACACTGGAGTATGAAATTTAAAGTGGGGAGAGGCAAGAAATGAGTCGAGAGGTGAGAAGGGCCAGAACATGACTTTGGTATGTCTGATCACCTATTTGATCCCCTTTCTTCATTAATAAAACCCTTGAGCTGGGCCAGAGCTAATCAGGATCATGGAAGACAGTCTTCAGAAGCTACAGCATTCTGGGGAGCCTCGGTGGCTCAGTGGGTTAAGCCTCTGCCTTCAGCTCAGGTCATGGTCTCAGGGTCCTGGGATCGAGCCCTACATCGGGCTCTCTGCTTGGCGGGGAGCCTGCTTCCCTCTCTCTCTCTGCCTGCCTCTCTTCCTACTTGTGATCTCTCTCTCTCTGTCAAATAAATAAAATCTTAAAAAAAGAAGAAGAAGAAGAAGAAGAAGAAGAAGCTATAGCATTCTGGCCAGAGAGGCAGGGTAGAGTCCCTGAAGGATTTGTCCTAGTTCCTGATGAGATGGGACTCATCTTTGTCTCCTGTGATCCTAGGAAAACCAAACAGGACATCCAGATCATGAAGGATGGCAAATGCTGATCCCCATAGCAGCCTTTTAAGCCACGAAGTTTCGGGCTAGACAACAGTGCTGGGAGTGAAGGATGTGACATGAATAAAAGTTCCAGACCAACTCAGCCAAGTGAGCCAGTATCTTTGGGGACTCTGATGAGGTGGTTGTTGGTGGTAGGTGGGTGTGGTAGGGATTCTGCCCTGACCTCCCTACTTTGAACCTGATGTCTTCTCCATTCCTCCAGCACTCCTCAACACTGTCACATGCTCCCCTAGAGGTCGCAGGTCTCTTCTGCTTCTTGAAGAGGTCAGTCCCTGTCCCCAGCACGCTTGTCTGCCCCAGCCTGCTTGTCAAGAACCCTAGGTGACCTCTGTACCCTCTCCCATTGTCAGAGAGCAGGACCCAGCCTTTGGGAGAGTCCTACAACCCTCATGGCCTTCTCCCTGGGTTGTACCAGCACCCCAAGTCTTAAGTCTTACACACACACTCTGATACTAATACTTAGATAGCATACACAATATATCTAAACTACTTGTTAAATTACTGGCCTAGGTCTGTAATAGTTAAAAATAGCTGCCCCGGGCCTTTGAGTGTCTCCCTGCACCTTGGCCACCCACAGCAGGACGACATCCAGACCCTGCTCTGTTCTTTTGGTCACCATCCATTCTGACTGTTAATGTTGGCATTGGACACAAGTCCAGGCATACACACCATATGTGTACCTATACAATGGCTCACAAAAACACAGAGTATCCAGAAATCCCACCACAGAGGCCCTAGCCTGTGGTCCATGTCAAATAACCCTCTTTTGGCCAAAGTGAATAGAAGGAGCCACCTGATAATGGTGGCAGAGTAAAAGAGTGTGGAGACAAGTCCTGGCCAGTAGAAGCAGGGTCACTTGGACTCAGATTCCTGCTTTAGGGGAGCCCGACTGAGCAGGAAACGTGCTGTGGGAAAACACATTGGGAAGAAAGCCAGGGCAGGAAAGGCAGGAACCAGCATTCCCCAGACAACTGAAATGGGGGCATGGACAGGAACTGTTGCTGATAGACCTGCAGGTAGAGGTCATCTACAGGCCCTACTACTTACCGCCACTGGTAACAGAAACTCTTGCTCCTCTCCTGCATAGGAATGATGGCAGTATTGAGTTTGGGTGTGAGAAACCCAAATGCCAAAATAACAGTGGCTTCAACAGTTCATTTTCCTCACACATGGACCTCTGCAGTGTGCTAATTTCATGCTCCTTATATAGTTACTCTGCTATCCTCATCAGTTTCCCCTTCAGTGTACATGACAGCTGCTCTAAGAAGGGCACTCTACTGCCTCTGAAGATGATTCCCATAAGACAAACACACTGTGTGTACAGCCCATTGCCTAAAATGGAGTCTCTTGGCCATGCTATCACAAGAAGACTGGGAAAAACCATTATCTGGTGAGCCACGTGCTAAGGTGGAAATTAGTTCACTTATAGGAGAGTGACTGTTGGTGATCTCTAAGCCTCTGCCCTAAGTGGGAAGCCCCTCTTACACCCAGCGGGCACAGCTTCTCAGCCAAGCTTCCTGTCAGTGACCCTCCCCTCCCAGGCTTCCACAGCCATGATGAGGGATCCCAAAGATCACACCCGAACAATGTGCCCAGGTGCCAAGCACAACACTGGAAGAAATACCTAATTCCCCATGTTATAGATGTGGAAACTTGGCCCTGTCTCTGGAAACATAACTGGGTCCCCAAAGGCCCTATCTATGGCACATGACCCTGCTGCCCTGGCTATTACCAATCAGCCAAAAAATTCTCCGCCAGGATTTTCTGAATCGCAAATAAGGAAACAGGCAGTTCCTCTCTCATAGTGAAGCTGAAAGATGTGTGATGTGGGGGCTGCTGACAGCCACGTTTCCTACTTTGTGGAAGAAGCAGGATTGAGAGAATGATGTTGGCATGCAAAGAAGGAGATGCAGAGACTGATTCCAGGCTGTGTTTGAATCCCTCAAGCCCAACTGCCCTCGAACACCCCAAAGCTATGTGGGATCACTTGACATCCTGCCAATAAATTTTCTTTCCTTTTTTAAAAGAAAGATTGATTTATTTATTTTAGAGAGAGTGAGTTTAAGCAGGGGGAGGAGCAGAGGAAGAGAGAATCTCACACAGACTCCCTGCTGAGCACAGAGCCCCAAGTGGGGCTCGATCTCATGACCCTGAGATAGTGACCTGGGCTAAAACCAAAGTCAGATGTTTAACCGACTGAGCCACCCAGGTGCCCCAGTACATTTTCTGTTTCAACATTCTCTTCGGAATTTGGTTTCTGGTGCTTTCAGTTAAAAGAATCCTGACTACCAAAGCAGGAATGGTGTCTCAGAGAAGGTAACCTTAATGCTGAGTCTTAAAGCAAGTAGAAATTGTTGATTAAAACTATGTGTGGGAGAATTCTTCCAGCTCTGTTTGGCTGAGAATGTTTATGGGATCACAGAGCCCCATTGGTTCCCCTTATAGTAAGACTGGCCATGTGCCAGGAAAAGTGGGCAGCCGGGGAATGTTCTTTCCCTGTTCACTGGCAGAGACACCCTGTGAATGTGCAGATCTGGGGGGAGGAGAGTGGGAGGGCTTATGCACAGGCCCCAGTCACCACCCTGCACACATGCCCAGTCCCCAGTGGCGCAGGGCCTCTCTTCTCCACCCTTTAATCAAACAATGGCTGTTGATGCAGTAAATTCCAGCGCTGACGGAGTGCAGCTGTGGGAATATCATTGTAGATGTGTGCGTCTGACATTCGTTCATTCTCCAAATATTTATTGAGCACCTATTATAAATAGACAATGTACTTGAAATATGCTGTTAACAAGACAAAGAAGCCCCTTAACCCAAGAAACTTAGAGTCTAAGGTTAGAGGTAAATATTAATCAAATAATTCCACAAATAAATCATGGTTTATCATGCCACTTATCATAAAGAAAAGTTACGGCAAATTGTGAAAGGATATCACCTGGGGGTTTAAGATGTTCCCTGACAATAGATGAGGCTTCTCCATGGAAGAGACATTTGAGTTAAGTTCAAGGGATGAACAGGAGTTACTTAGGAAAAGGGTCGGGGAGGTGGGGGTGGAGAGAGATAGTGAGGAGCTGTCCAAACAGAGGAACAGCATATGCAGAGACCCCAAGGCAGGAGAAGGCACACAGCATCTGGAAGACCAGCGTGCCTACCAGCAGAGAGCAAACAGGCCAGTGGCTGGGGATAAAAGGGAGAGCACATAGGGTAAGGACTTTGGCCTTTATCCTCAGGGGCCTGACATGCTAAGATTGGTACTTTATGGCCACTCTGGCTGCTCTGTAGGGAAGCTGCTCTTTGGAAGGCCAGAGGGGAAGTGGAGACCAACAAGGGAGAGGGAGGGAGAGGGAGAGAGATAAGAGCCAGCAGGTCCATGCTGTGGGGAGGAAGTACAGTGAAGAGTCAAACTACCAGCTTTATATCCTGGCTTTGCCACTTACAACCTTGAGAAATTACCTAAGCTCTCTGCTTCCTCACCTCTAACATGGGGACAGTATCTGTCTGCCTCCTAGAATGTATGAGCATTAAATGACTAATATACCTGAAGAACTCAGAACAGTACCTCGCACACAGGGACCTCTCATTACATGCTTTGGTCCAGCGCCACACAGCTAGCCTATAAAAACTATCAGATAAATACTGAACTGCTGATTAAAGTGGGGAGTGGGCTAGGCTAGGCTGAACCTCATCTACTTATCCACCCCTGTGGATAGGTCCCACCCGCACAGGCCTAAATTCCTGGGGCTTCAGTCACTCCTCTCTGCCAAATAAGGTTGGCCTCAGAGTGGCCTATTGGAAGCCTGTCTCCCGGGCACTGTGTAGAAAAAATGGGGTGACAGCAGCTGACTCGGTTAAGAGTTGTAGCATACAGGGCCACTCTTGACTTATTCAACACAAATTACAGCTAGAACCACAGAAGGCTTTTGCTTCTCCTATTTAATCAAAAGAGTTTAAACATTCTTTTGTTTGCTGATGATACATAAACTGCTCTTTAAAAAAAATGTTTTAACAGTGGAGGGGGCCACAAAACAAACAGGAACAGCCTTGAAGGAAACACTGACCTCAGAAGGGTACAGTGAACAGAAATACCTTTGAGGAACGCCTTAGAAATTTGTGGCTGCCTTCACCACCTGCCTCACTGTGGTTCCTTTCTCTGTCCCCCCACTCTGTATTTGTGACCTGGTTTCAAGCAGAGCTTTGGTCATTACTAGGTTCTAACCTTCTAAAGATTTACTTAAGCACAAAAGTCCACACATCGATACAAGCCCAACCCCAGTAATGGGCCTGAGGTCTCGTGGCCTGTGGCTGGGCAGGGTCACTGGGAAGTGAGGTCAAGGTCTATGAACCAACAACCCAGCCACCTGTTCTAGAATTTGGTTACAATGAGGGATACCTGGACCACCCTGTGAGCCAAATACCTATTGAGCCACTCCCTAGATGTAACCTCCTGGTGATTCTGGGTTACATCGACAGGCTACAGAATCATAAGGGCAAAAAGGCCTCATGAATCTGAAGACAGGGGTGCCCTATAAGAATTACTCCAACACAAATGAGAGGTCTCCCCAGCCCAAGGAAAGCACCCCAAGGTTGAAAGAATTGGCAAGATGGGCAGGAGAGGTCCCCCAGACAAGGTGGGCTGCTGGACGGCACAGCCACATGGAGACAGAATAAGAAAACAAGACAGGAGCTCCACTGCGGACTGTAGAGAATACTTGTTCATCGGGAACAGTGTAGGTGCAGGAAAACTGCGAAGTGGCCAACTGTCCCCAGCACCTGGAGAAATCAGGTCACTTCTGTCCCAGAGAGGGCAGAGCTGGTGGCACTGTTCTTCGGGTAGCCCCGCCTCATTCCGCCTCACCTCACTCGGCCAGGGCCAAGTTCATGGACTGTAGCCGCTCTGTCTCCTGGCAGATGTTCTGTTCCACCGTGTCACACTCAGCTAGGAATGCCTAAAATACGAGTGCAGGACAGTGAAGGACCACCTGGGGCTAACCTCTCCCTGCCCGTGCGAGGCTCTTTGCTCAACCTTTATGGGGAACCCGCGGGGAGGGATGGAGCTAGCCTGAGCTCCCAGGTAAGGGGGGGGAGGCAGAGCACAGCATAGGACCAGGGCTTCTGACAACAACCCCCCAGAAGGGTGGTGAGGACAGGAAGCCTTGCCACTGTACTACACAATTTCAGGGAACAGTGTTCACATGAATAGTGCCTCCTGGAATTATGTAATGTGGCATCATAACTGTTCTCCACTGATCTTCCTCCCCAGTGAGTTTAAATCCAAATATAATTACAGGGACATGAAAGGAGCTCTTCTCTTATGTTCTGGGCTCACGAAATCACAATCAAAAGAAAGTCCACACCACATAGCACACCTTTACCGTATCCTACTCTGAATAGATAAACACACACACCAAGACATTAAACTTTGTAATGCTTCACCACACAACTCACCTGAACCCTTTTCACCAAACCCTTCCTTTTCAGTCTACTGTCTTTGAAATTTTCCGGCAGAATCTGTGGAAGAATAAGTTGACACATAAATCATCTCAATAAAAGTGACATAACAACATGACAGAATACCCACAGTCCACCAACATGAATGAGACGTGCATGTTCAGGAATGATTTTCCTTGATCTGTATCCTATGTGGCCATTACCATGGCTCTTACCCCTATCCTTTGTTCTCAGGGTCTGGGCCATGTAAACTGATGAAGAACATGGACTTTGTCCTTTCCCTATGTACAGGTACTGTGTCCTGGCCACGTCATGAGCTCCCTGTGCTTCTTTATAACTGCCCGCACTCCCTCAGAATCCCAGGCAGAGTAATTCACCCTCAAAAATGAGGCATCAGGGCACTTGGGTGGCTCAGGCGCTTTCGGCTCAGGTCATGATCCCCGTGTCCTGGGATTGAGTCCCACATAGGGCTCCCTACTCAGTGGGGGAGTCTTCTCCCTCTGCCACCCACTCCTATTTGTGCTCCCTCTCTCTCAAAAATAAATAAATAAAATCTTTTAAAAAATGAGGCAGCAGGCTAGAAATATCATTACTGCCATTCTATAACAGGGAACATGAGAGTCGATGACCCTCAACAGTCTCACAAGAGCGGGTCTGACTGACTTCTGTTCAGTTAATGATCCCAGTGGGGTACCGGTCACATGAGTAGCATGAAGCCCTATAAAATCACCGTCCATTTGGGTCCCAACTTTGTGAGGATTAGATGCTTTTAGCATACATAAATAAAAATGACAAAAGCCCTATGTTGGTGGGATGTGAGTGCCTAAAAATCGGAACGATCTTGTCTTTCTGTGTACCCAGCAAGGGCTGGGCAGTGTCTGTCACATGGCAGGCGCCCAGTACGCTCAGTAAGTGCATTAATGAAAGAGTGAAACTGACTGAAACAGTCAAAGCAAACTAGTCCTCGGCTGAATATGTACTTACCAGTGTGTCAATCTCTTCCAAGATTTTCATAAATTGCTCGATAGTGGCTTTTACTCTCCTATCAAGTTTGCAGAGGGCTTCAGCTTGCAAATCCTTGGCCAGGAAACCCTGTGCAGGAATAATGCATTATTTCAAGGGTTTCCTGAGGCTGACAGAAAACTCCAGGCCAAGGCACTGATGAAGCAGCCACCCACATTCCCCCTATAGTTTGGGCCAGACCTCAGACCTGCAACTTCATCTCTTGGAGAAAACAGAGCCACCCCATGCACCACAATAGGCTGCAGGCCACTCTAGCTCCCACGGCCCACTGGGGCTGCTAATGCTTCCTGGGGCCTGGCTCTGGTGAAGCTCCAGTCGCCAAAGTATACCCACACGTAAGAGGCAGACATTAAGAATGCAGGGTGTAAAGTCCGACAGGCCCAGTCTTGAATTCTAACTGCCATTTACTGGCTTGTGATCGTGAGCAAGTTGCTTAACCCATCTGAGCCTTACTGTCCTCATTTTTAAAATGAAGATTATGATACACACACCCCAGAGGATTACTCTGAGGATAAAGACACACATAAGCAGACTCTTAATAGAATTCCTGACACGGACATGTGCTAACAACTGGCAGCATTTACATTGTTTTTATTAAACTGTCTTCCCGTTTATCACATTGCTTGGCCTAGTGACCAGTTAGCTGGTGACAATGGGTAGACAGCCAGGATCTCTGAGGATGTTTATCAAAGATATAGATTTGACCACATGCAGTAAAAGCTTTAAACATTAGCCAGCAATTCCAAGTCAAAGAATTTATTCTATCCCCCCACCCAAAATAATCAGAAATGGTCAAAAAAGATTTATGTTCAAGGATGTTCAGAGAAGCATTAACGCATAATGGTAAAATAACATTCGGTGATAAACAATAGAGAATTGGTTAGGTAAACCATGATACATTAACATTACTATGCAAGTTTCAGAGAGTATGATTTTTTAAAAAGATTTTATTTATTTGAAAGAGAGAGAGAGAGAGCAAGCAAGCATGAGCAGGGGGGTGGGCAGAAGGAGAAGCAGACACCTCAGTGAGCAGGGAGGCTGATGCAGGGCTCGATCCCAGGACCCCTGGATCATGAGCTGAGCCAAAGGCAGATGCTCAACCGACTGAGCCACCCAGGCACCCCAAGTATGATCATTTTTAATGACAAGAAAATGCTCAATTTTTTTATCCAATAAAAGAACAATTTACAAAGTATACATAACACTGTATCAAATTTTTTAAGATGCAAAAGCATATTCCAGTCTTCAGTACTGGTTATCTTTTGAGTCAGGACCTTATAGGTATTAGTGCCCATATGTTTACCTAAAAGTTATACAACCTCCATGTATTACTTTTGTAATTAAAACAGAAACCTACATCTATTAACATTATAAAGTGAGAGGAGAAAAAAATATGTGGTTTGGGGCTAGATCACAATCCTTACTTAGTTTTGTTTTGTTTTTTTTTTTTTTTTTTTTAAGATTTCATCTACCGGGGGGCCTGGGTGGCTCAGTTAAGCCTCTGCCTTCGACCCAGGTCATGATCCCAGGGTGCTGGGATCAAGCCCCACATTGGGCTCTCTGCTTGGCAGGAAGCCTGCTTCTCCCTCTCCCCCTCCCTCTGCTTGTGTTCCTTCTCTTGCTGTGTCTCTGTCAAATAAATAAATAAAATCCTTAAAAGAAAAAAAAAAGATTTCATCTACCTATTTGACAGAGAGCACAAGCAGGAGGAACAGCAGGCAGGGAGAGGGAGAAGCAGGCTTCCCACAAGCAAGGAGCCCAATGTGGGACTCGATCCCAGGACCCGGGATCATGACCTGAGCAGAAGGTAGCCACTCAACTGACTGAGCCACCCAGCACCCCCTTACTTAGTTTTAGTACCCCTTCTCTAATACAAGGAATTGAACAGGATGACCCCCCGCCTTCCCTACTAAGATCAAGCTCAACTTGGACCTTAAATGTTCTTTGTCTTGCTGAAAACATTCTAACAGCTGGGCCTGAGAAAAGCTACCTATTCTGTTTCAGACAGTATGTGACCCTGGAATGGCAGGTGCTCTCCTAGGAGCACAAATGGATGCTGGCTGGGGTTTGAAAACGGCAATGACAAGAACACTTTTAAAGCACTTAGTATGCATCAGACTCAAACTACAGTTTTTTGTTTTTTTAAATAAGCTCTATGCCCAAAGTGGGACTTGAACTCACGACCCTAAGATCAAGAGTCACATGTTCTACCGACTGAGCCAGCCAGGTGCCCCTCGAACTGCATCATTTAATCCTCACACCGACCCTGAGAGGAGGTACCATAATTTTTCTCTTTTAAGGAATTTGAGACCCGGCAAATTTGCCCACAGTAGTAGAAAGGGTAAAGCCAGGATCTGAACCTAGGGAGACTAGAAAGCCTGCCCTCACAACCACACATTTGCATCTCCCCAGAGACAGTGACCTGTTGGATTCCAGTAAGCTCCTTGTTCAACTCTTGCAGTTGGTCAGCTATCTTCTCCACAGACTTCTCCAAACCTTTCAACTTCTTTAGTTCAGCCTCTTCCTCTGGACTGTTCTAAAATGTTAAAGAATAAAATGAAGTCAATAATCACCAAGAATAGTGGCTTCTAACTGGAAAGAAAAAAATAAATCTGACCATAACTGGACTAAACCACTCACCTAGAAAAAATAACCTTAACTCTGCTGCTCCTTGGAAAGCAAGCTGGAGGGTTTACACATGGAGGTTTCCTACCCACAAACACTCTAGACTAGAGTGAAGACACTAAGTAAACATTCTGCAAGGACCCAGACAGCTTGGGTTGAGAGAAAGGAGCCAAACCAAGTGCCAGAGTCAACCTGAGGCTGGGGCAGCTGACTCCAGACTGAAGCCTCCGGGGGAACAGATGACAGTGAACACCTATGAGGAGTCCAGAACGGTGAGACAGGTGGAATCCTACCATTCCTATAGATGAATTCCTTAGTGTCACTCACCAGCTGAGCTCTCCCATTTAATAAGACGATGATAATGATGAATACCTTCGTTGGGCATTCCCTCCACTATATTAAACACTTCATCTGTACTATTGTTTTAAGCCTTACTACAAGCCAGTGAGGAAGGTAGTGCTTTAGATGATGAAACTGAGCTTTAATATAAAGTAAGGTAAGTCACACATCCCAAAAGAGGTGGAACTGAGACTTGAATCAGACTTGGCTTCACATACCCGAGGGCAACTCCACTTAGGGGTTCTATAATTTCTTCAGACTCAACCCTTGGGTTCTGCCCATCACCCAGAACTATTCTCCCTGACCCTTGAGCAAGAAATCTAGAACACTTCCCCTTCTCTCATCTCAACAACTGGTAGTCAGGGCCAGCAGCTTCTTGCTTTTACACTACCCCAAACTGTTCACATTCTTCTTTGTGGCCAAATCCTGAGTGCCAGACTTCTGGCTGTTCTGCGGCTGGACTAGATCTTCTTTGCCTTCATGTTGCTAATCTCTGTCCCCTCTCCACACTGAATCAGCCACCTACTCAAAGTAAGGAAACTTCCTATGACCAGCAGTTTCAATGTGTCACAATGCAGGGCTGGCAATAACCCTCTCTCATCACCCCAGGGACTACTGTCCTCACCAACTGACTTTTTTCCTCCCATGGCTCTTTTTTTTTTCGTTAAAGATTTTGTTTATTTGACAGAGAGAGCAAACACAGACAGGAGGAGCAGCAGGCAGAGGGAATGGGAGAAGCAGGCTCCCTGCAGAACAGGCAGTCCAATGTAGGGCTCAATCCCAGGACCCTGGATCATGACGAGCTGATGGCAGACACTTTACTGACTGAGTCACCCAGGCACCCCTTCCTCCCTTGGTTCTTTAGTCTGAACCTTTCTTTCTAACCAAAAAGGGCTTTCCCTTGTGGAAGATTTTAGTGGAAAGGGTGTTTAAAGGGAGACAGATTCATGAAATTTGCAGAGGATTTATTTCAATAGAAGTTTCTCTTGCAAATCCCCTCCATGTGAGTAAGACCTGACTCAGGCACCATTTTAACCAGATTGAGATCCACCACCAACATAAGAGCTATGTTACTAATGCGGCATAACTGTTCATGATTCCCAGAACAAAAGCCATAACCAATAGGAGCCAGAGGGCATGAGAATAACAAACCTCACCACATCAAATAAATGGAACTATATCTGTTTAGAAAGAACTATTTCACTAATGTAGAATGTGGGTCCCCAATTAGGCCTTCTAAATAGAAATATGTATAGAAGACCTTAGTCAGGGATGCCTGGGTGGCTCAGTTGGTTGGGTGGTTGCCTTTGGCTCAGGTCATGATCCCAGCGTCCTGGGATGGAGTCCCACATCCGGCTCCTTGCTCGGCAGGGAGCCTGCTTCTCCCTCTGCCTCAGCCTGCCACTCTGTCTGCCTGTGCTCGCTCTCACACTCTCTTTCTCTCTCTCTCTCTCTCTCTCTCTCTCACAAATAAATAAAATCTTTTAAAAAAACAAAAAAAGACCTTAGTCATTTGATTCTGGGGTATTCTGGTAGAAAAAGCAATTTACCTTCTTCCCAATTAACATGACTCGGCAACCATTTTGTATTCCGAGTGCTGACAGTGGCTTCTCCATTTCCTTCAGAGATTTTCCTGGAAAGAGAAGATATGCCAAGTGGTAACAACTGTACAACACTGAAAATAGATTCCACCAAGGTTACAGGAAATAGACAAGTGTGTTCACTAATAAGAGGATAAATTGGTAGAACCTTTTCCGCAGGTGTCTTGATCGAGTAATTTCACTTCAGATTTTCTCCTAAACAAATAACTGAATATATGCCTGCACAGTAAGTGCTATAATTTTCAATGCAAGCTTAATCATAATAGTGAGAAACTAGAAAGAGACAAACGTTTAGGAACGGGGGCTAATTAACTATACTGATGTACAACAGAAGACTTCGTAGGCATTAAAGCTAATTTTTTCAGGAAACTTTAATGCCATAATAAATGTTGATGGCTCAGTTTTATTAGAAAAATGTTATAAAAATTGTATAGTCAGTATAATCTCAGTTTATCAACTACACACACACACACACACACACACAAACCCACACTTTAGGATGCCTGTACAAATGAACAGGAATATCCTGAAATGTGATGAGGGGTTTTATCCAGGAGAACATTTTCTTCTTTGTGCTTTCCTCTATTTTGAAACATGGTTTCTACTGCCTTTTATAATTCCATAATAAAAGAGTTTTTAAAAGAAAACACAAGGGGCGCCTGGGTGGCTCAGTGGGTTAAAGCCTCTGCCTTTGGCTCAGGTCATGATCTCAGGGTCCTGGGATCGAGCCCCACATCAGGCTCTCTGCTCAGCAGGGAGCCTGCTTTCTCCCCCTGCCTCTCTGCCTACTTGTGACTTCTGTCTGTCAAATAAATAAATAAAGTCTTAAAAAAAAAAAAAAGAAAACACAAGGAGTTGCACTATGATATATAAATAAAAATACTTCCCATCACTAAATTCTTGTTTTAAAGATTTTATTTATTTGAGAGAGAGAAAGAGCATGAGCAGAGAGGGGGCAGAGGGAGAGGAAGAAGAAGCAGGCTCCCTCCGAGCTGGGAGCCCAGATGCAGCGCTTGATCCCAGGACCCTGGGACCATGATATAAGCAGAAGGCAGATGCTTAACCGATTGAGCCACCCAGGCGCCTCTCCACCCCGGCGCCTCTCCACCCCCTTCACTAAATCCTTTATAACTGGCACCAAATGGGATAAATTTGGCCCCATCAGATACTATAATGAGTTCACATGGGAATGGGAAGAAAGAATGGGGATAGAAAGGGAGTGGGTCCTAGTAGAAATCAGCATCATCCACTGGGCTTGCCACATCCACCCCTGGTAAGTTTGTTCAACATCTTCTCTGTGTCAGCAATATGCTAAGCACTGGACACAGGAGTATCTTCCCTCAAAGAGTTAGTTATTCTAACAGAGAAATAAGATGTTCAGCAACTATGAAAACAATTATTTTTTTTTAAAGATTTTATTTATTTGACAGACAGAGATCACAAGTAGGCAGAGAGGCAGGCAGAGAGAGAGGAAGGCAAGCAGGCTCCCTGCTGAGCAGAGAGCCCGATGTGGGGCTCAATCCCAGGACCCTGGGATCATGACCTGAGCCGAAGGGAGAGGCTTTAACCCACTGAGCCACCCAGGCGCCCCAAGAGCATCTTATTTTTTTTTTTTAAGATTTTATTTATTTATTTAGTTGACAGAGAGAGAGATCACAAGTAGGCAGAGAGGCAGGCAGAGAGAGAGGAAGGCAAGCAGGCTCCCTGCTGAGCAGAGAGCCCGATGTGGGGCTCGATCCCAGGACCCTGGGATCATGACCTGAGCCGAAGGCAGAGGCTTTAACCCACTGAGCCACCCAGGTGCCCCTGAAAACAATTATTTAATAGTAATTTCAATACAAATTATGCAGAAGTGATAGGAAGTGCCATATGCACATATGATGGGAAGAGGATCTAACTTAGCCAGGGAAGACTACCCATGTGCATTTCTGCCATCCTCACGGAACTTCAACTCTAATACCTGTTCAAGTGTTTGAAAGTGTCCTGTAGATAGTAGGTCCTCAATAAAATGTGTTGAAGGAATGCATGAATAAATAAGCAAGTAAGTATAATCCCAGTTTAGGGGGTGCCTGGGTGGCTCAGTGGGTTAAAGCCTCTGCCTTCGGCTCAGGTCATGATCCCAGGGTCCTGGGATGGACCCCCACATTGGGCTCTCTGCTCAGCAGGGAGCCTGCTCCACCCCCCTTTTCTGCCTGCCCCTCTGCCTACTTGTGATCTCTGTCTGTCAAATAAATAAATAAAATCTTAAAAAAAAAAAAAAAGAATTATCCCAGTTTAAAAACTAAGAGTTATCATTACATAAGGTTAAGTAGTTTTAAACAGGTCCTTTAGCCATAAGGACTCAAAGCTGAAAGAGAAATGCCTACCCTTAAATATAAGTTTCTGAAAAGGCAGTGGGACTCCTGTGGCCTCTTCAACAACCTGGGCCAGGTCTTGGACAACTGGCTCACTACAGCCCTGTTGTGGGGTGACATGAAGATCGTGCTTCTCATTGCCTGGGGAGAGAGAAGAGTGTTCAATGAAGAAAATTCTTTCACATAAACCATTACAGGCTGACACTATTATATTTATTTACCCAGCCTTCAAGGCCCAGTTCATTTGCCACCTACTCCAAACACTCTGACCCACCCCCTCACCCCCAATCTTTCCAGCTTCATCTGGTGACCTGTCCAAGAATTTTTGTTTCCTCTATAATAATAACTAACAATTTAGTGATATCAGCTAGCATTTTAAGCACTTAACATGCATAAAGGACTGACAGGCTCATTTCAAACATTATTTAACTTAATTCTCAGAACAACCCCATATACAAATAAGCAAACTAAGTTCCGTTCAGTTAAGACCTGCCCCTGGAGGGGCGCCTGGGTGGCTCAGTGGGTTAAAGCCTCTGCCTTCGGCTCAGGTCGATCGAGCCCCACATCGGGCTCTCTGCTCAGCGGGGAGCCTGCTTCCTCCTCTCTCTCTGCCTGCCTTTCTGCCTACTTGTGATCTCTGTCTGTTAAATAAATAAATAAAATCTTTAAAAAAAAAAAAAAAGACCCGCCCCTGGAGACTCAAATGAGGAGTAAAACCCTGACTTCAGATCTGATTCCTAAAGCCATGTTTTTTCATCAGAAGCCATCTGCTTCCTGTGGCCTAACTGCCTTGTACTCTGTAATGTTCTTGTCTCCTTTGCTGTCATGAGTAAGGGATTCCTCCAACCAAGTCTCTCCCACTGGGCACACCTGGGCACATACGTGGTTGGTGCTCAGTAAATAGACAACGAGTGAGTAAACTCAAACAGCAAAAAAACTTTTTGCCCAGAAATGTCAATTCTTTTCCAGGTATGTGGACAGTGAGGAGATAGCCCATGCCCAGAGCTTATGCCAAGCCTTGAGCCTGCACAAGAGTCACATGCAGTTAGTGGGACAGGTGCTACCAACTCTACTTCACAGGGAAGAAACCAGAAGCCTCGAAAGGAGACATCCCAAGGTTACTCAAAACTGAAGGATCTAGAATGCTGATCTTCAGATTCTGAGGCCCTCGGGTCTCTGCTAGTCCTGAAGAGCTCTTGAGAAAACGGACTTTGTTTAGATCGATGTCAAGCCCAACATTAGACAGACCCAGAGGGTGCCCAGAGCGTATGCTTGGATCCACAGCCCACTCAAAGGACGGACGTGAGTTTACGCTCCGCACACACATAGGTGTCCAGACACAGAGCAGTCATACATGACACGACCAAATACAATCCTGATACAAAGACCCACAATAACTGCTCAGGCACAAACTAACGCATACAACCAAGACGACGACATGAAGTACGGACATAGAGGATAAAACAAATGGCCTGAGTCAAAATACAGTGGCCACTGGACAGGTGTGCTGATACAAGACCCGCACAAAAGCCGGTCTCAAATACAAACAAGATCCCACACTTCCGAACTCCAGGACCAACACAAGAACACATCCTTTTGGAGGACACGTGGCCAAACCCACAGACTCCCGTCGGGCTTTGGTAGACTCGCATCGCGCCCACCCGGCACGGAGCCCACCCGGTCGTCCGAGCTCACTGTGGGTGACGGTCACGCTGAGCCCGGCTGCCGCCATTTCCTCGCTCTGGGTCACCTCTTCGCTCCGGGCTACCTCTTCGCTCCCGGCCTCTTCTTCGCTCTGGGCCACCTCTTCACTTCGGGCCACCTCTTCTTTCCGGGCCACTTCTTCGCTCCGGGCCGAGCGAGGCCGCACTTTCTTCATCCGCGGCCTTCGAGCGCCGGCGGCGGCGCCCCTGGTGGTTCTGGCATGTCCGCGGGCCGCACTCCGGATGGGTGTTCGCTGAGAGCGAGGCGGACCGCGCTCGGCCGGGGGCACCGACTGGCGGGGCTCCCGGCCCGACCGGGGGCCGCGCCGCCGGGGACCCAGCCGCCCCCGGTCGCCTCGCGGTCTTCGAGCGCCACCGCGCTCCGCCAGACCCGCGCTTGTTGACCACCCAGCGGAGAGCGCTGAGTTCAGCGTCTTGCAACCCCCCCTGGCTCCCGGCCCGCCCCCGCCCGCCGCGGCCCGCCCCGCCCCCGCCCGCCGCGGCCCGCCCCGGCCCGCCCCGGCCCGCCCGGCCTATCGGCCCTGCCCCTCGGAGCACGCCCGGCTCTGGCCCAGCTGTATTCAGCCAAAGCCTCCCCGGCCCCACCCACTCAACCGAGGCCCCGCCCCACGCCCTTCACTGAGGCCACGCCCCTGTTGACTGTCCGCCAGCTCCAACCTCCCCGAGCTCTCCTTCCCCGGAAGGCCGCGCTGAAAACCCGGAAAAAGAGTCGGGAAACGCCAATAAGCACATTGCGCTTGCGCAGGGGGGGGGGCCGGAAGTCAAGGAGGAGGCGGAGGTGATTCTGCTTCCGTTTCTAGTTTTGCTCCAGTGTTTAGGTTTTCTTCGTGGCCGCCCAAGATGAATCGATTCTTCGGGAAAGCGAAACCCAAGGCTCCGCCGCCCAGCCTGACTGACTGCATTGGCACGGTGGGCACTTGACCACACATAACTAGACCCAGGGACTCTGACACTCCCGACCCCGCCCACCCTCGGTTCCAAGCTCCTACTCGTCCATTCCATTCTCGGTTCCGGACACCTCGGCCCTCTCCACCTTATCTTCGTTCCTGTTACCCAGGTCATTCCTGACGCCACAAACCAGGAACCCCCTAACCCTGCTTGCACCCAACCCCCTCTGAGGTCCGCTGCCGTGTTTACTCGCTTTTTCCTTCTGCCCCAACCAGCCATAGGCCCACATCGTTTCCATTTCGTCCAGCCCGACCCCTTCCCCCCATTTGTCCTTCATCCCTCGCCCAGATCAGGATCCTCAACTTGATATCCTAGGTCAACGTATAGATACCCTAATCCTGGATCTCAGTAACAGGAAACTCAGGACTCTGGCCCCTCACATTAAGCCACCACCCTTTATTTAAGTGAACAGCAATAGATTTACAGGCCTAGCCCATTTGACACACCTGGTTGAGTCCCCAGCCTGACTAGTCTCTGATTGTAGAAGAATGGCACCTCAGCCCAGTGGTTCCTGAATTCTTTTCTGCTCAAGCACACTTGAAAGGGGCCCTAGAATATGAGAATCTGAGGAGTGGAGTATAGTTTATAAAGCCTCTCCGTGTTTCTAACTAGTAATCTCCCCCTGGTTGGGAACCACCTTCCCATCCTTCTTTCCTCTCCTGCCCCTTCTCATCTAAGTGTATTGTCCTAACTACTTCTGTTTCCTCAAGGTGGACAGCAGGGCAGAATCCATTGACAAGAAGATTTCTCGACTGGATGCTGAGCTTGTGAAGTATAAGGATCAGATCAAGAAGATGAGAGAGGGTCCTGCCAAGGTAAGGTAGGCGGCAGCTGCAGAAGTTGCTGCAGTAGCCTAATTTGAGCACCTCTGGAAGTAAGGCCCACTGGTAGTCTGGTAAGGAGAAAACATGTGAAGGTGTATCCTTCAAGGAGGAGGGTTTGCATCTTGATATGAGAGGAAGACTGGGGTTTAGTCTGGTGGAGAGAATTTGCTAACAGTTGGTCCAGAAGCGTGTACAGGGAATTAATACATTCTACTGAGAAGGTGGCAATCTCAGAACAGTGTGTTGCCAGGCTGGGCGGGTATAATAGGCTGGTTAAGGAATGGCGTGCTGGGAAAATTACTGAACTAGGCTTCTGGAGACCAGTGTTTTATTAATAACACCATCACTATCTACTAGCTGTAGCTATCATAAATCACTTAATACCTTATTTCCCTCTTCTATTAGGTAGAAACAGAGATTACCATACTTAAGTGCATGGACTGTGAATATAGAACTACCTTCTTTTTTCCCCCCATTTCTGTAATTTATTAACTATTTGAGCTAGGTTACTTAGTGTCACTGAACCTCAATTTCCCTATCTGTAAAATGGGGATAACACCTACTTTATAATGTGAAGATTAAATGAGGTAATTCATGTGACCCACTTAGCACTGTGTCTGGTACATAGAAACATTCATAAATAATAAATGCTTGATATTATTATCATTTGTGAGATAATATCTGCTTTTCCTTCTTCACTGGAGGAGACAAATAAAATGATTTATGAAACAGTATAGGAAGGGAAGTGACAAGAGGCTTTTTTCAGCCATCTTAGTTGGATGGAATGAAGAGTGACCAGAGGCAGGAAAGCTCATCTAGACTTGAGATGAAAGCCTAAACCATGGTGGCAGTCAGGAAAATGACAGGAAAATCAGTTTGCAGGTGAGTTCTGAAAATCAGTAACAAGAATGCTGCATGAAGAGACAGAGGAAATACAAGGTTGATATAAAGCTTCTTAACCTAGAAAAGGGAAAGATTGGTGGGACCATTGTTAATATTGGTGAGAGCAGGTTGAGGATTTGGGGCATGTTGCGTTTGAGTGGATAGTAAGATGTCCAAGTTGAGAATCTCCCTAAGGCAACTGGATGTACAAATAGGCAGTATTAGGGGTCACCATGGAGCAACTATGCACAAAAGGGAGTGCAGTTCAGTACCCTGAGATGTAGGATCCAAAGACAGATGAGTTGAGGCTTAAAGACTGTGCTTGGGAGGTGAAGAAGAGTCCAGGAGCTATTCTGTCTACGACTTTGAAGAAGAAAGTAGATATGTAAGTCCAAGGATATGGGAGATTTCTTTTACTATATGTGTGTTTTCTACTTCCTTTAATTAAAATCTGTTTTTCTCCCCAGAATATGGTCAAACAGAAAGCCTTGAGGGTTTTAAAGCAAAAGCGGATGTAAGTTATAAGTGTGACGTCCTTTCCTCTAGCAGGTTTAACTAAAAGGGAAATGGTCTTTTATTCTTCAGTTTTTCATACTATTTTATAAGCATTCTTGATTTAGTTGCAAATTTCATTTATATATCTGGTGAGCTGGGTTTTTCTCCCCCTGCATGTTCAGCACTATTTGTTGCAGCACTGTCTGTCTAACCAGAACTTTTTGCTATGATAAAGATGTTCGGTATCTACGCTGTTCAGTACAGTAGCTCTTAGCCACGTGTGGTCTTGAGCACTTGAAAAGGGTTTAATATATACTTTAAGTAGCCATATGTGGCTAGTGGCTTCTGTATTAAACCGCCCAGATCTATAGGGTTCTTCCATTATTTATTTAATTTCAGTAAGCCTTTTTGTTTGTCTGTAAAATTGAGAATCCTGAATACTTGTTCCCTCCCAACCAGAACAGATTTAAGGGTCCTTAATTTATTTTAGGTGACTATGTCTCAGTGTTTGAGCAGAAGTCAAGTAGCATCTTTGGTGCTTACCCCTGTAAGCTGATGAGACCTTCTGCCAGGTTTGCAGAGGTCAGATGTAAGCAGCTTATAAGGAGCCAGAAAGGTTGTTGATATCTCTATTTTTATTTATATTTTATTTTAAGATTTTATTTATTTGACAGTCAGAGATCACAAGTAGGCAGAGAGGCAGGCGGAGCAGGGGTGGGAAGCAGGCTCCCTGCTGAGCAGAAAGCCTGATGTGGGACTCAATCCCAGGACCCCAGGATCATGACCCAAGCTGAAGGCAGAGGCTTTAACCCACTGAGCCACCCAGGTGCCCCTATTTTTATTTTTAAAATGCGTTTTTAGGGGCGTCTGGGTGGCTCAGTGGGTTAAGCCGCTGCCTTCGGCTCAGGTCATGATCTCAGGGTCCTGGGATGGAGTCCCGCATCGGGCTCTCTGCTCAGCAGGGAGCCTGCTTCCCTCTCTCTCTCTCTCTCTCTCTCTCTCTGCCTGCCTCTCTGTCTACTTGTGATCTCTCTCTGTCAAATAAATAAATAAAATATTTTAAAAAAATAAAAAAAATAAAATGCGTTTTTATCAGATAACCACCTTCCTCCTTCTAAATTAGACAAAATTGGAAAAAGAAATTGATAATGGTGAGAGTATGGTAAAACTGTTCTTCTTATTAGGTGGCACTGCAATATTTAAGTAACTTTTTTTCAATTAGCAATAATCGCGCCTCGGATAAACCTCATTGGCTACGATACTGCCACTGCGCAAAGCTTAAGTAACTTTTTTTAACAAAAGGAATGTATATTCATCATAGATGCTTGGAAAATACATAAACATGAACAGAAGAAAAGAATATTTACCTAGATTCCTACTACCAGAAATAACCATTTCTTAGTTTCTTTTCTCTGCTTGTGCATGCGTGGAATCTGCATATAGCTTTTTTGAAGAAAAATTGTACTGTGTAAATATAGGTTGTCCCTTTACACTTCACATTATATCGTGAGCATTTCTCTCCTTTTATACATTCTTTGGAAGCTTTAATGGGGTGGTGATAATTCTACACCATTTGCCTGCACTGTGAATTGACCAATTTTCTTCTGGTTGGATAGTTAGATGGTTTCCAAATATTATATAAAGGCCATACTGACATAAGTCTTTTGAGTAGTATCATACTTTGATAAAAAACTTTATTTTATTTTATTTTTTTAAAGAGTTTATTTATTAAAAAAAATAATAAAAAATTAAAAAAAAAGAGTTTATTTATTTATTTGACAGAGATCACAAGCAGGCAGAGAGGCAGGCGGGGGTGGGGGTGGGGGGAACCAGTCTCCCTGCTAAGCAGAGAGCCCAATGCGGGGCTCAATCCCAGGACCCCGGGATCATGACCTGAGCCGAAGGCAGAGGCTTTAACCCACTGAGCCACCCAGGCACCCCTAAAACTTTATTTAAAAAAAAACATTTTGAACACCACGTATTACATCAGGCCAGATGAATTACCTAATTATGGATACAAGATTAATAAAAAATAATACCTATCCTCAAGAACTTCAGTCTACTGGAAAACCGGTTTAGTTATATGTATGAAAAGCCTTAAATCTTGTCTTATCCTGGGGCTCCTGGGTGGTTCATTCAGTTGAGCGTCTGCCTTTGGCTTGGGTCATGATCTCCGGGGTCCTGGGATTGATCCCCTCAACGTGCTCCCTGCTCAGCAAGGGGTTCTGCTTCTCCCTTTCCGTCTGCCTCTGCTCCTGCTTGTGCTCTCTCTCTATCTCTCTGTC